ACAACGTCCCAAAGAGCGATATCAAAATTCGATGCGACATGAATGCGAACTGGAGGAGACAATACAGGAAGAGAACTCACCATGGGTCGTGAGGCCCTCGGTGAAATGAACGAAAATGGCGAACTCTTCTCACACTTCTGCGCCTTCAATGATTTGGTGATTGGTGGCAGTGTGTTCAAACACAGGGATATACACAAGGCGACATGGATTTCACCAGATGGACACACCAAAAATCAGATAGACTTCATTTCAATCTCAAGGAAGTGGAGACGGAGCCTACTGGACACAGGATCGAGGAGAGGAGCAGATGTGGGTTCAGACCACTATCTAGTACAAGGGACTTTCAAGGTGAAGCTGAAAGCCTCGAGGATAAATGGGGATAGGCCACAATGCAAGTTCAACACGCAAAAACTGAAGGACACAATCACACAGGACATTTTCACTGCAACTGTCAGAGCGAAGCAGGAAACACTACGTGGTACCACTGAGGAATCATCCGTGGAAGACCATTGGAACTCTCTGAAGGTGGTTTTCAACGAAACGTGTTCAACGGTTTTAGGAAGAAAGAAGAAACAAGACAAGGAATGGCTCTCAACGGACACTTGGAAGCTAATAGAGGAGAGGAGAATGGTGAAAGAGAAAATGATTCAATGCAAAGATGGACAAGAGAAAGAGACGCTGAGCTCAACTTACACAGCACTGGACAAAGAAGTGAAGAAGAGTGCCAGGAAGGACAAAAGACAATTCTACGACAACCTGGCTACTGAAGCTGAGAAGGCAACAGGCAAAAGGGACCTGAGGACACTATATCAGATAACCAAGTCTCTATCCGGGAAGAGATCAACACATGTAACATAAGACAGCCAAGGAACCCAATTACAGAAGAAAACAGATTAACAATGGGCGGACCACTTCCATGGACTCCTGAACCGACCACCACCTACAACCCATCCAGAAATACCAACAACAGCACGTACACAACTGCAAGTTGACACCGATCCTCCAACGAAAGCTGAAGTCTTGAATGCAATCAAGCTTCTGAAAGCTGGAAAAGCAGCTGGACCAGATGGAATACCCCCGGAAGCACTGAAAGCGGACCCAGAAACGACGGCAGATATGCTGACTCCATTATTGCAAAAGATATGGAAAGAGGGAAAGGTGCCTACTGACTGGAGGAAAGGTTACCTGGTGAAACTACCAAAGAAGGGCGACCTGGGACTCTGCAAGAACTGGCGAGGAATCATGCTCCTGTCGACGCCAAGTAAAATCCTGAGTCGCATCATCCTGGAGAGAATCAAGGACGCGCTGGAAACAGAACTCCGACCAGAACAAGCTGGATTCAGGAAAGGCAAATCATGTTCTGACCAAATTGCAACTCTACGCATTATCATCCAACAAAGCATGGAATGGCAATCAAATCTCTACCTCAATTTCATAGACTTTGAGAAGGCCTTCGACAGCGTTGACCGCGAAGTAATTTGGAAACTCCTCGAGTACTACGGCGTACCCCAAATATTCATCAACCTTATTTAACAACTGTACGACAACGGCACATGTCAAGTGATCCACAACGGAAAACTCAGCGAAGCGTTTGGAGTAAACACAGGAGTCAGACAAGGGTGCTTATTATCACCAATGATATTCCTGATTGTGGTGGACTGGATTATGCGTCAGACAGTGGGAAACGAGAAGACAGGGATATCCTGGACTGACGTGAAGAACCTAGAAGACCTGGATTTCGCGCGTGGATGATTTATGTTTGATGTCACACAAAATCGAAGACTTACAAGCGAAAACCGACAAACTGGTCGAAGAAGCAGCAAAGACAGGACTCCAGGTGAACATAGACAAGACGGAGGTCATGAAAATAACCAACCAACAACAACAGCAGCAGCAACATCCACCGTCAATCACCATCAACGGGAGGGATTTGAAAGAGGTTACTCCATTCACTTATCTAGGGAGCATTGTCTCAACTACAGGAGGAACGGACGAGGATGTCAAATCGAGAATCGGGAAGGCGAGAAACACATTCATCAACCTGAAACCAATCTGGAAATCTTCGTCACTCAACATCAACAACAAAATTCGGATTTTCAATACAAACGTCAAGTCAATTTTGCTTTACGGATCAGAAACTTGGCGAGTCACCAAGAATATTTTCAACAGGTTGCAGACCTTTATCAACAACTGTCTTCGCTCCATACTGAAGATAAGATGGCCAGAAAGAATCACAAACAAGAAGCTATGGGAACAAACGAAACAAGAACCAATCGCCCAACAAATATGCAGGAGGAAGTGGAGATGGATTGGACACTCGCTGAGGAGGCCGTTGAGTGACATCGCGCGTCAAGCCCTCGAGTGGAACCCGAAAGGGAAGCGGCGAGTGGGACGTCCAAGGGTGACATGGAGGAGATCGTGTGAGGAGGAGATGAAACAGTATGGAATAACATGGACGCAAGTGAAAAGTACAGCACAAGACAGAAGCAAGTGGAGACGTGCAGTTGAAGCCCTATGTTCCACTAGGAACCCAAGGGAACAATAATAATAATAATAACCTACAATACAATAATTGTTTTCTAAAGATATATAGATACGTACGGCAAGCTAACTAGGTAACATTTCGGAAACGTATAACTCTTGAACAACTGCTACCTAAGCAAACCTAAGAATATCTTATCTTACTACACAGAATACAAGGATAGAAATCATCAAAAGATACAGCAGACTATTACACCTATTTGCAATTTATGGTTTTCAATTTGACTGAATACAAGAAAGGCACAGGAGCAAAAGCAACCAAATTAATCATACAGTCTGAAGACGAAAACTGTAAGGTTACATTCTCCTCATCATAGCGCTTTATCAAAACTACTAGTTACCGAATATGTCATATATAATCTTACCTATGAATCTGAAATGTATCTCCGTAGTACAGTTAACTGATATACGCAATCTAGAATACTAATTCAAGAAAAAATAGCTTCCTAATGTTTTTCATAGAACTCTCTGAACTACTCACAAGTTATTTCAGTAGTTAAAAACAAAACCACATCATTTTAATAAAATACCATTTAAACACTACGTCACACATAATTGCTCATAGTTTGAAGTGTACAAAGAAGTGACAAAAAAGGTGATTTTTTCTAAAACATCTATACATCTGTCTATCTATGTATCTATTCATGAACAAAAATACTTAAAGAAAAAATAAGAATGAAAACTGTAGGATATGAAGCAAAAATCATAGAACATCTAAATAAACACAGAAACCAAACAAAAATAAATAGATGTGATATGCTGCATCATCTGATTAGGCGAAAAGAAAACTAACACACTTCTGTTCTTCTTCTTCTGATCTCAAATAGACATATGTCATGTAGTATGATGGGTGGTGGTGGGTGTTGGACAGGTGGAAATCAACAGTGGAGGGTGGGTTGGCGGCGCTTACGCAACCAGAAGTTACAAAAAAAACCCAGAAAAAACACACATACAATATGAATCACACAGAAGACAGTATCCAAAAATTATGTGCGAATACAACACTATACATTTGAGACAAAAACTGAAAAAAAATAGCGAAAATAAAGAATGAGAATCTCAATAAACAAACAAACAAAATATGCATTCAACTTGTAATCTATCGTTGTAATGGTTGGAATAATAAAGCAAGATATGCATAAAAAGGCTTCGAAGAAAATAAAAAAATAGTCATATATTATTTCAGTGAAATACCAACATATAGGATGTATTATATCACAAGGAGACAAAAGAAGGAGAAAGTTAAATGAGTACTATATATAAAGAAAACACGATATTAGTAATTAATACAATCATGGAAACCACACACAGACAATTAGGATAGAATAAATTTTGCTTTGATCTGTCAACCATTTCGACTAATGAAAAATCATTCATATTATCCCAAGGATGGAGAAGAAGACAAGGAGGTGGAGAATGGAAATGAGTTCACTTTTCTTCTAATTATAGCAATTGTTATCACAATATCCACATAAGTGATGGTTATATATATATATAATGTTGACATACATTTATGGAAATTTTAGAAAGACAGTAGAAATAGCGCGCACACAGAGAAAAACAGTATATATAACTGAAATGATAAAAAATAGATAGAAACAATCTTTTCAATACAAAAAAAGAAGAAAGAATGTAGTAATGATAATGTGATCGTTCAAAAGTGAACGGTATTCATCAATCCCTAATCAATCTGTGCATACTTTGGAGAGAATACGGTTTACACTGTTCACTGAAGCAGCCAAAAAATGAATAAATAATAAATAAATAAACTATCTTACAGTAGAACAGTGAATAATATAAAACACAGGGAATAGAATGTTTAAGAAGAAAAGTCAAGTGAATAACCTTCTTTTTCACATAGCGTATTTCTCTTTTTTTTACAACAACATAATGAGATGAATACGTAAACCAGATGGAAATAAAGACGGGGCAGTGGGGGTGGGTGGGGATGGCAAGGGAACTAGGAAAAAAATATTAATCAATATTAATACTGTTTGCTTTTATTTTGGTGCTTTGGAATTATACAAAATAAAGTTTTTGACAGATAGATAAATTGATAATATAATATAATATTATCTTCTCTATTCTTATTTATGAATAAACACAGTGTCCAATAAAAGAGTAATTGTTATAATCAATGTCAAATTGAAATTCTACTCAAGTGGATTGACATAATTATTCTCCTCTTCCTACTACTTTTTTTCTTATATTTTCTATTCATTTCTCAATATATTCTACAATATACAAACTAATCAATTATTGTCATGACTGACTGACAAAAATAATAATAATAATAATAATAATTGGACATAAGTAACATTTTAGAGCGGACACATGACAATGGCGTTTTCATCCACTCCCTAGGATAGCACATACATACACACACACATGCAGCACACGTGACATGTACACGACAGAGACAGAGAGAGAGAATTAAGGAAAACGTACACACAAAAAAGGGCTTGATCATCACATAGATTGAAGGTAAAGAGAACCAGTTAGGAGTTAATCTGTAAACAGAAAGAAAAGAAAAAAAGAAACCCAATAAACAGATTCAATAACAAACGATTGGTCATTTCATATATTACACTAAAATACATTTTTTAAAAACGGTTATTGATTTCTCTAATTTTTAATAATTTCATTTTCAAGAGTTGAGTTTATAAGGATTTGATTTGATTTTCAACTTTAGATCACGGATTGAGACCAGTTGAAGTTTCTGTAGCAGTGTTCATTTTACAGGATGGGGTTGCTAGCCTCATGCCCAACCTTCCCTCTTCACCAGCATTATTTCTGGCTTAGCGAGGTAAAGGAGTGCGTTGGCCGGGGATCGAACCCCGGACCATGTGCATGGTCGGCGAGCGTCCTAACCGCTATGCCACCGACGCACGAGACCAGTTAAAGAACTATTGAAAACCAACAGGGAGTTGTACTGGACAGCTGTTTCATCCTAACTGTCAAACTCCGTGGGCAAACTCAGAAAAACAAATCTAACCCTTACAAATCAACTCTCAAAAATTAATCTAATGCTTACTAGTGACTGGCTAAAGGACAGAGTTTCCTGGAGTTCTAGTGAGAAGTCGTGACCAGTGAGGTTCATCCAGTCGGGAGTGAGGATGAATTTTCCGTCGACGACACTGGTTGGGGTCGCGTTAAAATCACGAATTGGTAGAAGTCAGAATTCATGGTCTGGCCATTGAATTGGGTCTCAGTGGGTGAATGGTGTATGAGCTTGCCTTCTGACCGGAAGGTCCTGGGTTCGAATCCTGATAGTGGGTGCGTGCTGATGATGATGACCCAAACTAGGATGAAACAGCTTTCTCGTACTCCCTGGTTTTCGATGTTTTTGTAACACTGATATCAATTCGTGGTCAAACTCGGAAAAAATAATTTCATTATCTTTATTGCAAACATATAAGTGGGATAGAGAACACACATGAGTCAGTAATCTGTTCCTACGATATTAATGATTCCTGTTGATGCGATATTATTACATACTTTTGGGCAATATCATTACTGATAGAAAAGGTGGTTCAACATTGGAGTAACTGATGTTGAGATTAATTATTTGATTGACACTGACTAACAGTGAACTCATCAGTTGGATTCTACCGGCTAGTAGACCCCAACAACAGAAAAAAATATCATGTTAAATCTTCAGACGTTGTCGAGGCATTCGTACTAGGAGAGCCGACATATCAACAGAGATCGAGCATTTCAGTCCAACACAGTCAATCACCACCCCTCAACACGAGAGATAGAACGTAGACACATATAGTCAAAGACAGCTAGCCACTTCAGGTGTTTCACTTTCAGAGGCCACATCACACAGCCATAAAGAAGGATGGGGTCAACTGCTGCGCAGCATACACATCCTTTGATCGATAGCCGAATATCATATCTACACCAGAGATGACGTAAGTTGGCGGATTCCATACAAGCCTCTCATATCAATTCTGAGATTTCATCAGTCATCAGTCCAATAGGGATGATGAAAACTCCCAAATAAGTGAAGTAGTCAACACACTCTACCAATTCACTGCCTATCTTTAAGCTAGGAGTCGATGTAGTCCACTTCTGCAGTATCATCTTACATTTGACACGAGCGAATCACACGCCAAAAACATTCAAGGATTTCTATTCAGGGTGTTCAGAAGACTCCGCATTTTGTCACCATCTTCACCAAAGATGATAATATTATCCAGATAATCTGAGGTGGCAAGACTATTCCCTAGTAGCATGTCAATCTCTAGGTCTCTGAAGTCAGTTAGAGTCTATTCCATTAGTATATCTATGATAAAATTAAGCAAAATGGTGACAACAGGTATCCATGACATACGCCAGTAAGTTATCATCACTTCGAATGACAGTACTCTGTAATCTGCTTCATGGATGTGTGAGTTTGAGCAGAGTTAAATGAATACTGTTACAGTATTTCCTTCTCGGTTAAGCATTCCCACAATACACCTTTCAGGCGATGGAGTAAAATGTCGCCCTTCAGGTCAAGAAATATGGCAGGTGTTCTTTTCTTCTCTACCTGTTTATAATCTATCATGGTCGGATAAAATTTTATGTCATAGATGTCAGTGGTATGTGACAAGATTCTATCTTCAATTATATTTTTATACAGTTTAATACCTTCAATGCATTTGGCTTTTTAACGCTATCGCTGTTAATAAGCTTACTTAGCACAATAATGAAAAACACTCATTAGAAGTTAACTGGTGGATGGTGACTAGCAGTGGAATCCAGGATGCGCATTTCGTCCTATTTGGGACTCGTCAGCTGGATGTACCTGCATTCCGCAGTGAGTGATGATGTTCCCACCGGGGTTCGAACCCAGTGCCCATAGTTTCATCATCACTCACTGCGGAATGCAGGTACATCCAGCTAGCTGACGAGTCCCAAATAGGACGAAATGCGCATCCTGGATTCCACTGCTAGTCACCATTCACCAATTAACTTTTAATTACATGCCCAGACATCGCCGAAGCATCTGCACAAGAAGCCGACATGTCAACGTGAGACCGAGCACTTCGGTCCAATCAATCGACGGGAAAATCTAAAATTGAATGTTTTTTTAAAAACACTCGTTGTTTAAAAAAAAGGCTGAGTCTCAGAGAAAATGAAACAATAAGCATTGGAAAGAAAGAACATTACTTACCTGTATTTTTTTCTGATTAATATAGAAGAGAACACTGTTTGATTGTCATATTCTGTCACACTCAATTGCACAAATAACATCTGCATACACTTTTCAAGATATACAGTATAAGAATATGCACACTTTTATATACATTGCTGACTAGAGTGTCTTGGATTACGTGAACCTAAAGAATTTCATAAACTTCGACAGATTGGTTTTTTTTTCAACTTCATAGAATCCTAAAGTGATTGTGAAGTTTTTGTAGTAAACTGTACTTTTGTACTTCCTTGACCTTCACTGGTTGGAATTATATGACCCTAGGAAGTAAACGAAACTTTATTTTAGGATAAATAGTAGTAATTTGATAATTAGAGGTATGAAATGAGAAAAACGAGAAGCATGCCAGTTCTTAAAGAGTTGAAAAATGACTCATCAACGTAGAGAAACTATGGCCAGGAACTTATGCGAAAACATGAAAAGACAGACGTAAGTAGAAACTTGCAATTCAGTTCAAGCTGCTACACTTTGAAACAATGCAGAGACGAAGTTAGAAGAAATGAAAATAACACTACAATGGAAAACATGATGTATTCATGAAACCGATTAAGAGAATAAAAATTAGTAACAATGTTTATTCTTCCATAAATAACCTACTACGGCCGAAGGTGAGTAGACTTCGATCTTTCTCAGGAAATGCTCTCAAGTAGCCACCCAATAATAGTCTCTGACAAGAAAGTCCTATTCTCAAGTATTGGTTTTGTAGGGATTTTGTTTCATTAGTTGGAGGATTTCATCATGAGCTGACATCAGTAGAGAACCACTGGAAAACCTGGAGTACTGGCAGTTTTTCGTTAGTCTAGTTTGGGACTCTTCACCGTACGCACCCCACTGGGCCCGATCCAATGGTCCCAGTAGCTTAGTGGTCTACGAGCTCGCCTTGTAACCAGAAGGTCCTGGTTTCGAGTCCCGGTGGGTGCGTACTGATGAGGAGTCCCAAGATAGACTGACGAAACAGCTGTCCAGTACTCCCAGGTTTTACAGTGGGTCTCAACTAATGTCAGCTTATGATGAAATCTCCATGCAAAGTCCTATTCATTGCATTCACGCCGCGGTGGGTGAGGGGGGGGCTCGTCACAAAAGTGAAAGGAAGAATGAGAATGTCTGGCGCCTACAACGGTACGCTCAACATCCAGATATACTTAGGTAGGTTGCAGACATGTGATCCACAATCCAAATAAGTCAAATAGTGCATGAACGTTGTTTGGTCATCGGGAACCATGGGAACCACACCATTGCCTAGTGGATAAGACCTCAAGTCAAAGCCTCGAAGTGTGTACCCTTAAGACGACCAACTACTTCAGTCTGGATGTCCGATCAGTATCCCAACTCTCGCACAAACTATGGATTTCTGGAACAAGCGACACAAGTTCATAAAGCAGGATTCAATGCATTCATCAAATTTCGGTAGAACTCTTCAGCTGGTGTTCATAATGTAGTACGTTTGTGTTTTAATTATTAATAAATAACAGTGTTTACACTTTTCTAACACAATAAACCTAAGTAGCAAACAGCAAAAGTTAATCAGCGAAAATTCCTCCTTGAAAATCATTAGAAAGGAGGGCGGGGGGTATTTGCTGTCTTGATGACCTTTTTTGTCCCCTAAGTAATCCGAATCGACGTCAACCAGTAACAAACAAAAGTTTAGATACACCTAACCTTGCAAGATAATACTGGTATATTGCTACGACTAAAAAATAACAGCAGCAGCAACATACAGCGCCAATCACCATCAACGGGAGGGATTTGAAAGAGGTTACTTCATTCACTTATCTAGGGAGCATTGTCTCAACTACAGGAGGAACGGACGAGGATGTCAAACCGACAATCGGGAAGGCGAGAAACACATTCATCAACCTGAAACCAAATCTGGAAATCTTCGTCACTCAGCATCAACAACAAAATTCGGATTTTCAATACAAACGTCAAGTCAGTTCTTCTATACGGATCAGAAACTTGGCGGGTCACAAAGAATATTTCCAACAGCCTGTTGCAGACCTTTATCAACAACTGTCTTCGTTCTATACTCAAGATCAGATGGCCGGAAAGAATCACCAACAAGAAACTATGGGAACAAACAAAACAAGAACCAGTCGCCCAACAAATATGCAGGAGAAAGTGGAGATGGATTGGACACTTGCTGAGGAGGCCGTTGGGTGACATCGCGCGTCAGGCCATAGCTCGAGTGGAACCCGAAAGGGAAGCGGCGAGTGGGACGTCCAAGGGTGACATGGAGGAGATCGTGTGAAGAGGAGTTGAAACAGTATGGACTAACATGGATGCAGGTGAAAAGTACAGCAGAAGACAGAAGCAAGTGGAGACGTGTAGTTGAAGCCCTATGTTCCACTAGGAACCCAAGGGAACAATAGTAATAATAATATATATTGTTCAGCTGTCCAAAGTTAACTTTTGCTACCACACCCAAGTTACCTTAGAAAATACGTCTTACACTAACAAACACTAGACAGGTCCCGTTTTTGGATTACAAAAAAATAACACTGATAATGATGTTCACGGCATTTTATGTAGCAAGGCTAGACGATTTAAGTTTACTTAAAGGCTTAGTATATGATTGTAGTCCTTTTTGAAAAACGAGAACCGGCAATTTACAGCTTCCTATTAAATGATAGAAGAGAATGGAAACATTTCAGCTTAGAGTCATAAATGACAATTGTTGAAAGAGGTTAAAGTCGACAACGAGAAACACACATTTCGATAATATGAAGAATAAAAGCATCAGATATCCAAATAGTAGACTTCTATGACACCCACAACTGTGGAACAATACTTTCAATTATGAGTCTACAGATATTTCATGATTTCCAAGGAGCACTTAGAGTTGAAAACTGATATAAGAATAGAAATTTGAAACTGTGATAGAGTATAATTCCCTCATAGAATAAATCTTATTTGATAAAAGCACACAGCGATACAGTATCATTTGCCGAACAAGTTTCGAGTACAATTTATTACTCATAATCATTTCAAGCCAATCACATAACTTCCAAACTTCGTTTGAATGATTCAATCACTTTTTTATCACTTCATTTCATTGGTAGTAATATTTTCCATATCTCTGGTATTGATATGTGCCATTCATATTCACCAGCTGAGTGTAGACTCCATGAACAAAGATTCACTGGTCAACCTCTCTCCCCACCTCTACCAACTGACCTAAATTACTTTTTAGAACCGTATCTCTATCTCACCTCATTGTGTGTTAATGCAAGCAATGCGATAGCTGAGTTATTCTCTAAACTAATCACGTTCGTGGGGTCAACCATTTTACACTCAGCTAAATTCTTATGTTCCGATCATCTGACTACACATGATCTACTGGTTTGACCTATGTAATTGACTTTACAGTCATTGCAATGTGTTTTGTGGATTACCTTATTTTATCTAAACGGGTTACTAGGATCCTTTAGGTTACAGATAGTATCGCTGAGTGAATTTGTAGTATTAAAGTCAAAAAAATTTGATGAATTTTGCGATTGTGTATGAATTTGATTATACTGATGGTCACAGTTTAATCCTGCATAATAATTCAATCATGAATTCTTCGAGTAGATCATCATCAGTGTTAAATGTAACTAATTTAGACTCTAAATAAAAAGAATGGGAAAAGGTCTCAGTATTCATTGGCTTTTCTATTGTGGTGAGAGCTGTCTACTGGCCAAAATTGGTAGACAGTAATTTACGTCAATATTTACGTTCCCAAGATTTGTCGTGAGAAAATGTGAACAAAGATTGATTCAAAACCGACCACAGCAGACTTTGCGTAGGCGGATACAGTTGACATATAGATGATCTGACATTCAAGAAACAGTCACAAAGAGATGAAAGATTAACATTCTGCGAGAAACCATCAATCAGAAGACTGTGTTTGTTCGCTTAACTAAACTATAATAATGTACATGAAAATATATAAATATGCGTTGAGTTCCTTAATAAATGATCTGTTGCCTGGCCCTTGTCTTCTGTTGTTACACTATGATGTTTTATTTTGTAAGTAGCAAGTGTTTCTAGTAACATGAGACAAGTTTATTTAGTCAGAATTTTCCTTCGCCCCAAATATATTTCTAGAAAAAACGAGAACTAGTCAGTCACGAACAGTTCGAAAGGATGAATAACAAGGTAGGTGACCAGGCATAGATATATAGCTATATAACAATGCCACGTGTCGACAACGAAAAACTCAGCGAGGCGTTCGAAGTGCATACAGGAGTAAGACAAGGCTATAAGTATAAAACTTGGACACTATGGTAGAGTATAACTCCATTATGGATAAGATTTTATTTTGATAAATCACACAGTGTTATACAGTAATATTAAGTGATGACGTTTCGAGTACAAAATATTGCTGATAATCATATTATTACCAGTCAAATCACAAGAGGATAATAAATAATCTTAAAATTCTATTTCAATTCACATACATTATAACATTCTAACAAGTTTTTTTTATTTTACTATAAAAATATCTTATTTCCCATCCTAGTGTATTTTATTGATAACACTAATATTATTTCTGGATGTACTTTATCTTATATTGAGTTTTATTCAAATGTCTGATCAATTTTACTCATGTATATAAATGAAGCAAAAAGTTGTGTGAGTGACTTGATATGATTATGAGCAGTAATAAATTGTGCATGAAACGTTATCAGTAGATATTACTGTATAACACTGTGTGATTTATCAAAATAAAATCTTATCTATAATGGAGTAAGACAAGGCTGACTGCCTATTATCACCGATGATATTCTTAATTGTGGTGGACTGGATTATGCGTCAGACTGTTGAGAGCGAGGAGTCAGGAATACGCTGGACCACCGATAAGACGACTCTAGAAGATCTGGATTTCGCAGATGATATATGTCTAATGTCACACAAACCCGAAGACTTGCAAGCGAAAACTAACAAACTGGCAGAAGAGGCTGGCAGCGAAAACAGGACTCCAAGTGAACATAGAGAAGACGGAGGTGATGAAGATAACCAATCAACAGCAACAACAATCAGCACCAATCACCATCAACGGGAGAGATTTAGCAGAGGTTGCCTCCTTCACTTATCTGGGAAGCATCGTTTCAACTGCAATCCGAACGAATGATGTCAAAGTTAGAATCGGAAAGGCAAGATACGCCTTCATCAACCTGAAACCAGTTTTGAAATCTTCCGCACTCAGCATAAGGAACAAGATTCGTAGTTTCAACACCAATGTGAAGTCAGACAGTGCTTCTATACGGGTCAGAAACTTGCACTGCGTGTCAGGAAAAGGATTTCCAACAGGTTGCAGACTTTCATCAACAGCTGCCTTCGCTAGCTCCATACTGAAGATCAAATGGCCAGAAAGAATAAGCAGCAAGAAACTACGGGAACAAACCAAACAAGAACCGACCGCTCAACAAATATGTAGGAGAAAGTGGAGATGGATCAGGCATACATTGAGGAGGCCGCCGAATGACATCGCACGCCAGGCCATCACTCGGGTGGAATCCAAAAGTGGGAAGCAACGAGTGGGTCGTCAGTGCAAGGGTGACATGGCGGAGATCGTGTGAGGAAGAGATGAGAGAGTTTGGTCAATCGTGGACCCAGCTGAAGAGGACGGCAGAAAACAGAACAAAGTGGAGATGTGTTGTTGAAGCCCTATGTTCCACTCGGAACGCAAGGGAATAATAATAATACATAATTGGAAAGCTTTCAAAGGAACTTACGCGTCTTTGATGCACTCTTAAATGTCGCGTAATCATATCACGTCGAGATGCTGAATAATAACACAATGAACATTGATATGGTCTTTGTCCAGTATGAGTTCTTTGATGTGTAGACAAATGATCAGATCTACTAAATGCTTGACCACATATTGTGCATTCAAATGGTCTATGTCCTGTATGCACATGAGCATGTCGTACAAGCATATCTGAACGACTAAATTGTCGTGAACATACTGTGCAAACATGTGATCCATTTGAGTTTTTATTATGTTGAGAAGATGTACTTGCACTACTCCCATTACCATCAGTACTATTATTGTTATTATTATTACTGTCAGTTTTATGTTTATTGGAGACTTTTGTTAGCATACAGTTATTATTATTATTATTATTACTTTTAATTTTACCGACATCACTATTTATTCTTTTAGACAGTAATAATTTCGACGCTTTCTTATTGGAATTTGATGTATTTCGTGAAGAACTTTTTTGTTTTTTTAACTGATATTCATCAGTATTCACTGATGATAATTGAAGAATATTTTGAGCAGTATTCACGTTTTTATTGTCATCATGATTATTCTTTGTTGGACTGGCAGTTGAAGCTATTACAAAAGGATAACAGGGGTGTTGTTCACCAATAGGATATTCGTCTTCTGCTAAATAATTATTCTCTCTTGATTTTGGTGTTGTATTGATCGACGATAAGGATGGATGACGTGTCAGCGATGTTGGGAAATTATCTAGAGATACAAGAAAAAAGAAGAAAAGAACACAACCGCATTATTACACAAGTTTGATACAGAAAATACATGAACAATAACAAGGACAACAAGAAGTAAGCTAACATTCTGGATTTACAATAAATACACAGTGTTAATAGTAAGAAGCATCAGCAGTTCAATGGTAGAGTATTCACTAGTTACGCAGGAGGTCAAGGTTTAATTCCCAGGTGAAGCACTACCCTAAACATAAGCTAATGCACTGGATGGTAGTAAGCTGGGAAAGGAGAGGAAGTTGGCCCTGAGACTGAGGCTAGCAACACTACAACTACTGAAACTTTAAAAGCTTGAAGCGTTTTCTTCCACTCAGAATGCAAGAAATGAATAAAGAATGAGTAGAAGAGTACAGTTACAACTCTATCCCATTGTAAACTTTCTTGTTATGTATGTAAGACACAAACTGTAATTGAAGTAGCATCTCAGTAAAAAAAAAGAACAACGCTTCAACAGTTCATGCTGAGAACCATTTAAACTTCAACTCTCCCTGTTATACACTATCATAGATACTCTGTATCTCTTATGAGGTGTTGAAAAAATTAATGTACTGACATTCTTTAATTAACGAAATTTCAATACAATTTACACAATGTTGATTTACTTAACGATGCTGACAAGTCGCTGGCAAGCGGCTCTTTAGGCTGGAAGAAAAATAAAAGGTCACATGACATGAATTTAAAAAGCTTCCTGCAATGTAGCTAACTTCTAGAATTACTCGTTGGCGGACTGGTTTCAACGTAGAACTTTGCACAGATGTACAGTAGTTCGAGTTGCCACACTCCCTCCATGTACCATACAAAGCAAGAGAAGAGAGTAAAGGGAGGTTCAAAAGACAGATAATAAACAAAGATGTGGGGGTAAAAGCATAGTAATATGGAAGAACAATAGATTTTTATTGGATATGATAATTCTCAAAGAGTGAATGTAGCTGCGCCAGCCATTGACAACGATTTTGAGCCATATCACCAATTGTCTCCAGCCTTCATTGGTTTTTACCATCCCGAACACCAAAACCAGGAAACCAGTCTACACCTCTCTATGTGGCTCAAAGATTTCATGGACTATCCATGTTTATGGTGTGGTTGTGTTCTCTGAGCTGGATAGTTAATTTGCGTAGCTTTCATAGCCTTACTAGGTGACATCTTCAGCGCATACTTCAATTTGAAGTGAGCTTTTAGATTTCTCCAACACTTTACTCAGTTCTATGTTAACTGAAAGACTCAACAGCGAAAGAAGATAAAAACAACATCACCTACGAAATAAATTGTAACAACTGCGAAAAACACTACATTGGCCAAAGTAGACGTCCCCTTCGTCTTCGTATCCACGAACATAAACTAGCCGTCAAAAGACATGACATCCACTCCCTCATATCACTACATACAGACAACCACGGACATCAATTCGACTGGGACAATGTTCAAATATTAGACAGAGGAAACAACAAGAAGGCTAGAGAATTTTTAGAAGCTTGGCATTCCAGTGAATCATCAATCAATAGAGACATCGAAATAGACAAAATTTATCAAATGATAAGAAAGAAACCTCACACACAAAGGATTAAAGTTCAAGTCAAAGAAGCAATCAGTACCAATACAAGTAACCTAGAAGGTGTGAAAACACACAAAAACAACCAATCACGCCCAAGGTCACCGGGAGAGATGATTAATAAACTCGTGGAGAAATCTGAAAGCTCACTTCAAATTGAAGTATGCGCTGAAGATGTCACCTAGTAAAGTGATGAAAGCTTCGCAAATTAACAATCCATCTCAGAGAACACAACCACACCAATATCATCCACCTGAGCTACAAATCTTCTCTATCATATTTAAACTGATTCCATGTTTTGGTTTGACCACCACTAGCTCTTTTCCAACCTGATCTTATGTCAGTTAACATTTCCCGTTGAGTGAGGCGATGGTTAGGCATGCGTAATACATGTCTGAACCATCTCAATCAATGTAACTTCCCAACCTCGTCGACTAATTGTCCCTGTTTACTTAGCACTCGACGTCTAACCTCAATATCGCTCACCTCATTATACCACCTAACACGTGAGTTAGAATGTAGGCAGAATTACTCGGTAGGTAGCATGATATGCCTATTTTGTGACAAAAAGCTTTGCAAGATTTCTTTCTAGTTGGTAATCATTATGTTTTTTTTCCTTAATATGAAACATTAACATCCTCTTAACTGTAAGATACTACTATACGCATATTATACATTTCGTGACTTCCATAGTTCTTGATAATTTGTTCCCTTCTGTAGAAAAAAGGAAAATACCCACAACACAAAAAGTATTCCATTCCTACACGTACACTGCGTAGTAGTAGTGTAGCAGCTAAGATGTAACAATAGAAACCAAACAAAGGATATTGTGAATTATTTCACTAACTTAGGAACGGAAATATTTCCCCTTAATAAATGAAATTAACAAGAAAATGAAAGATGTGTAAATGTCACTCATTTTGGTGTGGTCATCAACGAGCTGTCTATTCTACATTGTGGGAGGGCTAACAATGCTACCTGGCTGACCAAATCACAGTAAGTGGAGCGGTATTCAAATCACCAGACCTAGTGTTTTAAAGTCAGGTGCCTATTGTAATGGGGAACAGCTCCATTGAAATCAAGGACAGCTAAGCAAACTAAGTATTTAGAACAACACAACTTTCTGAAAGTGCTGTACACATTTAACAATTCATGCAGATCATTTGTATTATTACTTGCTGACGAAATCTCAGCACGGATAAAAAAGGCTCGCGTGTTATTTGCCAAGTTACATCACCTCTGGGGTAGACGTGATATCCGACTAACCATCAAAGGACGTATGTACAGAGGAGCAGTTCGCTTTTTTCTCATTTATAGATGTAACTCATGGCCATTAGAAGTGGAAGATATGAAAAGACTAACCATCTGTGGTCATATATTTGCGTTGCGTCTCCCGTGTTTAATGGTATAGTATGGTGGATACTACTGAAGTCAGGCGTAGCGTTAGATGAGGAGAGTAAGGCAAAAGAAGAGGTTGTGAAGCGACATCGATTTAGATGGTTAGGACACGTATTGCACACACCGAGTCACCACTGACGAAGACTTAATTTGAAAAAAGGTATAGAGATGGTCAAATAGAATCCTTTTCTCAGTCTATGAAGTCTTTAACATTTGGCTTGAGCCACATAGCGAAGAGTAGACCGCCTGGTTGTGGTTCTCGGGATACTAAGAATCCATAGTTACAGATTATTTGGTGATATGGCTCAAAATGGTCATCACTGGCACGGAGGCGTTTACTCTCTGTGATCTCCCATATCCATTAAACATTCCAATATGGAATTCCATTAAACCCTATTGTTTTTCCACGTTACTATTCTTTCTCCTACACATTTCTGCTGATTATCGTTCCTTTTAGTCTCTTTTTTCTCTCCTTTTTGCCTACCCTTCTGTGTTACATACAGTATGACAGCTCCATGTTGAAAGTCAATCAGTCTACAATTACTGATAGCTAATTTACCATTTTAGACCTACGTCTCACTAATTTTCACACTTAACAAGTTACATAGTTACGCAGATAAAGATAAAACCAGTGAAGATTATCAGTAACTAATTAATTAATCAGCATTTAAACATGATTGGTTTACGCCTCCATTATAGATAAGATTTTATTTTGATAAATCGGACAGTGTTATACAGTATTATTACTTGATGACGTTTCCAGCACAAACTATTGCTCATAATCATATCCACTGTGTAATTTAACAAAATAAAATCTTATCTATAATGGAGTTATACTCTACCACAGTGCCCAAGTTCGATTTATGCCTTTCAATTAAGTTTAAAAAAACTATAAACAATCGGTAATTTCAGAAAACAAGAGCTACATTTAATCACTGTCTGTAAACTGCTAGGTTTTCGTTACTTATCAACATCAGTTAGAGAGATCATTGAAAACCACGGAGCACTGGATAGTCGTTTCGTCATAGTTTGCAACTCTTCAGCGATACGCACCCGTGACCTCACTACAAATCGAACCTAGGACTCTGAGGTTACGAGGACATGTTAATTGACGAAAATCTAACAGGTGAAACTTATTTAATTCCCTACAAACTATCTTTGAAGGTAGAGAGAAATGAATTAGACCTCAATTCGTAGGATGATATGTTACAAAAACTATCGTGCTTACAATTACACATAAGTTGAACAGATTTTGCTTCGTCTTGTTGTACTTGTTGTTGTTGCAGTGGCCTTGCTAGTACTGGTAATGTATTCTTGCCCTGATTATTCATCTTTGAATAGACAATGTCTTCTGTAGGACTGCTGTTTTCACTGAACTGTGCAAACATATTGGATGAATTATGAATAAATGGTGATGATAACTTCGATATGGAAGTACATGAAGATGGCGATGGATAAGCAGAGACAGTACTAGTACTATTATGACAAGTATTCGTGCTAATGCTACGAATATACTTTAAATACTTTTGTAAAGATGGTGACGGACATGAAGATGACGACGATCCCGATGATGATGATGGTGGTGGTAGTAGTAGTGGTGATAACGAAGGTGATATCAATGCTCCAGATAAATGTTGTTCATGATCCAATAGATGATTCAAAGGACGAGGCGTGCACCATATATCTGATTTATTTGGAGTGAATTTTGTACTTTATAAGATGGAATTTGATGTTGCTGTTGTTGACTTAATGGAAGCGGAGAATGAGGATTAGGTGTGGGTAACTTGAATGATGACAATATTGAATTGATTGATGATGCTGTATATGGTTGATTACATGATGCTAACGAAGGATTTACAGTAGATTTGTCGAAATCATGATTCCTTGTTAAATTCTGAATTAAATCTAAATAATTTTGATCATTGAATAAGTCTTTCGTAGAGGTGAAAGCAGATGTTGATGAAGGCAAAAACGTTGACTTTCCCTCTTGTTGTTGGTGGTGGTGTTGTTTCTGTTCTTTATCATTCAACGACTCTTTCATAATTCTTTTTTGAAAGAATAAATTGTTAGATGAATTGTTCCGTTCTGAGACGGATAGTAAACCAATTTTAGGCGTAGATGGATTCTCTGCATTATTGGCAAGTAATGAAGAATGTTCTTGATTCGATGGAACTCTTGTATCGTTAGACAGCAGTAGCAGCAGCAGCTCGTTGTTGGTGGTCAGAATTCATGGAACCCCGTCTAATCAATAATGTGTGTATTAAATCTAGAACCTATAAGTAGGAAAAAGAAAAGCAACAAATACGATTCTATTTCAATTATTCCTACAAAAAAAATTTTAATCGGTGAAGTTAGTGTAACAAAGAGCATATGATGATTATTGACTTGCATACTTGCTTGTATAGATTTTCAATATTTGCAAACACTTTACACCGTAATAGTAGAACACCGTAGTATTTAGTGGTGGAATTGTTTATCAGGGGAGATTCAGAAATAATGTAAGTGTAGAATTTACGCATTTTAGGCAAGTTTATTTGATATAAATACACAAAGATACAATATTGATGGCTGGATAACATGCCGAGTACAATTTATTGCTCATAATAGCATCAATGTATTCAGCCGGCTTCACAACTTGCTTTATATATATATATATATATCTTTCCATTGTTACTCATTGTAATTTTCTATACATCCGGCATAGGCATTGCATCAATTCCGACTGCACGTGTTTGGTGTTGATTCGGTGAATCACCTCTCCCTCCATCTAACTCTAATAAATACTTTCACCCTGTCCCAACCTATCGTGTGGTTGCGTGTTAATGCATGTAGTGCGATTGCTGAGCTTTTTGCTAAATTACTTATCTTCACGGGGTCAGCCATTCTACACTTGGCTAAATTCTTATGTTCTGATTACCCCCCGATCTACTGTTTTGACTTATGTAATTGCCATCACAGTCACTACATGGTATTTCGTAAGTCATATTATTATTCTTAATTGGATCTACCGGGTCCTTAAACCGACAAAGATTATCTCTGAAGGGGGTTGGTTGGTTTCAATGCCACCTTGACTAATTCCAGTCGCATTGGGAATCCTACGTAACGCCCCTCACGTTCCTTATTTATACGGCAGGCAGTACTACAGAGGCTTTGAATTTCTTTATCATTTCTGTCATTTCCATTACTAATCTAATTTTTTCTGTGGTTCTTCATATGTCTCATATACTTTTGAATAAACTCTGGTGATTAGTAATTCACTAGTAATGTAACGACAGAAGGCAAGAGTCAGGCAACAGATCCTTTATTAAGGAAATCAACGCATATTTATATATTTTCATTTACATTACTATGGTTAGTTAAGCAAACAAACACAGTCTTCCGATTGATTGTTCTCACGTAAACTTAATCTTTCATCTATTTGTGACTGTTTCTTGAATGTCAAATCCTCTATATGTTAACTGCATCCGCCTACGCAAGTCTGCTGTGGTCGGTTTTCAATCAATCTTTGTTGACATTTTCTCACGACAAATCTTGGGAACGTAAATATTGACGTAAATTACTGTCTACCAATTTGGCTAGTAGACAGCTCTCACCACAGTTATACTTCCTTTATTTGTTTGATTTCATTATTGAAGTCTTCTGATTTACTAGCTAAGCACCTGCCTCGAATGTATCAACATTTAACCAAACCTACCTTTATCGATTCTGGATGGGATGAATTAAAGTCTAAGTATTTTTTAGAGAGTGTCGGTTTCCTATAAATACTAATATATAAGCCACCAGCATGTTTTTGTCTTATCTTATAGTCTAGCAAAGCTGAATCACCGTGTTCATTTTCTAACTCGTAAGTGAATTCGATTCCATCTATCTACCAGTGAGTTTATATTTGTGAGGAACGTAAGAATATATTCAGATTTCAACACGCTTAGTGTGTCACCCATATATCTCCACCATAACTTAGGAGCAGGATTAAGAATTCTAAGAGCTTTATGTTCTCAAATGGTTGAAGCAGAATTGAATAAGTGACTTTAAAAAAATTAAACTATTTCGAACTAGGCGAAAGCAACAAAAGTGAATATGAAACCTGTGGGAAAAGCATCAAATTGATTTCCACCAATATTTAGTTAATCACAGTGGTGCAATAATAACTTCCGAACTGAATAGTATTCAAAAAACGAAGACGCACCAAATTAGCACTTAAAAGGCATGTTTTTTTATTACCATTCTTCAAGTAGAAATATTGGTTGGACTACTTGACGTTAACAAGTTTTCAAGACTGATAGATTATTACTTCCAAGGAATTAAGTAGTAATACACGAAAAGGAGTAAACAATCACATTGTGAACATCACATACATTAAAGGGATGCGGTTTACCAGCTGATGAAATTCTAGAACTGATATTTCTGTCAATCACTTGCATAATAAGATTGTCTAGGAGACTATTTTGATTTGATAATTGCCTTTGAATATTGTCTTCAGATGGTAGTGAATGGAATTTAGGAAGTAACGTATTGGATTCATTGCACTGTTTTTTACAATTTGTAGGATTATTATCTGACAGGATAAAATTCTGATTATTTGTATTCTCATTCTCTGTTAACTGGCTTTTTGTTGTATCATGTAGCGCAGATTCAAAAATAGACTGAATTTTTGCAATTTCAGTAGTATCTAACACACCTAGAGAAGAGAAAAAAATTAGTGATTATTTTTATTGAAATGTATCACACAAAATTAAAGGGATTAAAGGTGACACGTGAGATTAAAAAAAACATATATCTGAACTTCCATAACACTTTGAAGAAGCTATATGTTTCAGGAATTTATAAATTATACATGAACCTGAGATATTCTGGAGAAGATTCGTAGCTTAAATGAGTGCTACTGGTGTAGTTGTCGCGTGTGCTACTGATAAGATTTATCAGTAGTATATGTATATAAAGAGATGTTCATCGGGCATAAAAACATCAAACAGCAGGGAGATAGATTTGATGTCAGAAAAAGCAAATGATACAGTGTTGCGGAGATACATGGAAGACGTGAAAGGAAAACAAAGAAACACAATATGAAGGAAGGGCAGAAGTAGCACAACACGGAATATCTGTTCAAATGGTGCGTTTTCGATAAGGTGTACATAATTTGGCTATATAGAGATACCCAATTACAAATAAACATTCTCTTATTAAGTTTTTCGTCTTCTACTGTTACATAGTTATATCCTCTGAGCTGGATGGTTTAGTTACCATGCTTTCATTGTATTTCTAGACAACAACATCAGTGAAGACTTCTATTTGATACAGCCGGTTCCCTTTATAAGTTTGAATAAAGAAAGAACGAACATATTTGCAGGATAATACGAGCTCATTTTATTTCGTGGATTCTCTTCAACTGCGTACATCCTAAATAAATCAATTATATGTTACGAAATTTTCTGAACATACTCTTTATAGTGATTTCAAGTAATAGGTAGAGAGTATAGGCAACATAATTTCAAAGATGACGTAAGTAGACAATTATTTAGTGTTAAAAGAGTAATTATTTATATGGAAGTTAGACAAAGGTGTAGAATTCAGATTTCTTTTGGAAACAAGAATGGACTAGAGACAAAATACAAGATAGAACAACGGAGTGAATTTATACAAATTACGGTGGAGAGTTCAGGAGGGTGGGGATGAATAGTGAAGTAAAATTATAAAATTGAAAAAAAATAATTTAATTTAGTAGATTTGAAACCTTAGTAGTGAGTTCAAGTCAGTGAGTGAAAATCAAAATCAAGATCGAGTGGAATGTTATGCAACAGAACAAAACACAAAAGCACACGAACAAAACAATTATGGTTACCAAGGTAGTGAGAGATTAGTCACACTCTCTTTCTGTATGCATAGGTTGCGTCGAAGTCTTTTGATGGCAATGGCTTCTGTGAACAGAAGTAACTATGCTTTTCTTTGTGTATTGGTTATTTTTAAGGCCTGACCAATTTCCATTGTATGTCCCGCTTCAATTGGGTGTCTGGCGATTGCGCTTGAGAAAACTTTACTGCCTTTCAGACAGAGACTTTTAGGGATATGCTCGGAGAATCTAGTAGACGCTCTCCTTTCAGTCCTTCTTATGTAATTGCTGACGCGAGTGCAGGTGAATTGGTAAATGCAGTTGGAGTTGACATGAGCACGACACTTATCTACCTTTGACTGGGTTAGTGAGCGTACTGTGCTGTAAAGTGGAATGAATCCAGCTGTGGGAAATGTTCTTTTCAATGCATCTTTAATTCTGTTCTCCGTTCTTATGGATACTTCTTCGCCTTTGTATGCTAGACAGATAAAAACTGGTTTCTTTTCAACTGTTTCCGGCTTCGGTTTAGGCGGTTTTTCCTTCTCACCTTTTGCCATGAACTTCTGAGGGTATCCATTTTCGATGGCTTGGGATGTACGCAGTTGAAGAGAATCCATGAAATAGAACGAGCTTGTATTATCCTGCAAATATGTTCGCTCTTTCTTTATTCAAACTTCTATTTGAAATGAGCTTTAAGATTTCTCTAGGAGTTTGCCAGATATCTCTTCTGGTGATCTTGAACGTGATCGGTTGTTCCTGGATATACTCAAACTTCAAAACTTAGGCTTGAAGCCCTATGCGAAACTCGGAACTCAAAGGAAATAAATATGAAAATCATAATCAAAGTTCGTCCCGCCTAGTTCAACTACAGAGCTTGGGTAGTAGCATAAACTGAAGTAGTGCACACCCACAAACCCAGTGGGTATCGAAACCAGGAGCTTCCGCTTACGAGAAGAGTCCGGTGACCATTCAGCTACTGGGACAGTATTTTACTAAGCTGGGATACATACTTTATATGTTATGCTAAACACTGTTATCATCATGATTATCATCATCATTGTCATCATGTTGTCACATCACGAGGAGGCGAAATAAACTGACTTTGATAGGAATTTTATGACATTCTGTTTTACCTGTATATATATCCTGTATGGCTTTTCAGGCTTATTCAGCATATACTCATGCGCATACACCCACCAAGTAAAACAAAAGCACTGGTCCAGTCAGTTTATCTCACTCCCTAATGAAAGTGAAATATTGCAAGAGAGAAAAAAGTCAAATTGATTAAAGTAGCATGTACAAACAGAAAGCAAGATTTTTAAAAAATATATAAAACAAACCTTGACTAGACTTTTTACATTCAACAGATATGTCGTCCATAGAGTTTAGGTCTGCTCTAAATGAATTCTTCGTTGTATTTCCATTATCAACTTTACACTGTTTCTTTTCTGACGGGGGAGAAACCATCTGCAAAAAGCAATGAAATTATCTAATCAATTCTAATGTTATATATGTATGTATAATATCAATAATGAAATTATCGCTTAAATAATAATTCCACATACCGTAAATAAGCCACAATAATTGCTTTACATTAGCGTAACTAACTCTATTGTCGAATGAAAGGGTAATACGACTCTTTGAGGTAGTATAATTACATTAAAAGATTGAAAATAAAATTTCGCCTATGAATGCCAATATGCAGAAAATCTATGGGCTCACTAATTCTTACCGAACACTGATCGATTTCAAACTGTAAAAAAGAAATTTTCCCAGAGATCAACACTTTGAAAAGCAAACCAACTTAGAACCTAACTTCCTGATCATATGGTAAATTTTAAACATGAAACAACTAAATAGCGTGGACATTAAGAATTCAGCACTGTTGTATATTTAAATACAGAACACTCAATGTGCGCTGATATATAATTCTGCCTAATTTTTTTGCATACTTTCTAACTCTACTTTTACAGCGGAAAGCTTAGCGAAGTCTGTGATGTGAAAACAGGAGTAAGAAAAGGCTGTCTACTATTGTGGTGAGAGCTGTCTACTAGCCAAATTGGTAGACAGTAATTTACGTCAATATTTACGTTCCCAAGATTTGTCGTGAGAAAATGTCAACAAAGATTGATTGAAAACCGACCACAGCAGACTGCGTAGGCGGATGCAGTTAACATATAGAGGATTTGACATTCAAGAAACAGTCACAAATAGATGAAAGATTAACTTTACGTGAGAAACAACCAATCGGAAGACTGTGTTTGTTTACCTAAATATCCATAGTAATGTACATGCAAATATATAAATATGCGTTGATTTCCTTAATAAATGATCTGTTGCCTGACTCTTGCCTTCTGTCGTTACACTATTACCGATGATATTCCTCGTTGTAGTGGACTGAATCATGCGGCAGACTGCGGGAGGCGAAAAGATAGGAATAGGAAAACTCTAGAAGATCTGGACTTCTGAAACGATTTGTATTTCATATCAAACAAAACCAAAGATCTACAAACAAACACCAACGAGTTAGCAGAAGAAGCACACAGCGAAGACAAGATTTCAAGTGAACATAGAGAAGACAAAGATGGTGAAAATACCTGACGAATAACAATAACAACAACAAAAAGCACTAATAACTACCAATAGGAGAAATCTGGAGGAGGGCACCTCTTTCACTTATCTACGCAGCATCTTTTTAACTACAAGCGGCACTGTAGATGGCAATGCCTGCCGGGATTAGGAAAGCAAGATAGACCCTCATTATTGTGCAGTCTGTTTAGAAATCTACTGCACTGAGCAGAGACTTGAAGCGTTACCTAAAGCATATCCAACAGACTGCAAACTGTAATCAACAAATGTCATCTTTCCATACTGAAAATCAAATGGTTAGTGGGAAAGCATAAGCAACAAGGAACTTTGGGAACGAACCAACCAAGAACCTATTACCCAACAAATATGGCGAAGGAAATGGAGATGGAATAGACACGCTGAGGAGACCATTGAGTGACATCACACGTCAGACTGGCCCTAAAGTGGAGCCCAAATGGGAAACGACGAGTTCGGGATCCTAGAGTAACATGGAGGAGGAGATGAGTGCTTACGGGTAATCGTGGAGCCAACTAAAAGGGGCTTCAGGAAACAGGATAAAATAGTGGTTAGACTCTATGTATATTCAGTGTCTATGTGAAGTCTTCTGATAGTTGTTTGAAACGGTAAAAGCTCTCCTGTCAACGATCCGTTTTCTTTCATATATATATATATATATATATATATATATATATATATATATATTCGTGCTGGTATTGTTGTGGCTGACGTTGTATGTTTAGCCATTAGAGTAGTTTTCATTAGCGCATTGGATTCGTATAGCTCGCAGTTTACTAGATAATACTGTCGGTTACACTAGTTTTACCTAACGCATTTATGCACAGTGGGTATGAAGTCTTGATCGAGTCGGTAGTCAAATAGTTAGACCAATGAGCAGCAGCATTTAGGAAATACAACACTAATGATAATACTCAAGTGTTGGTTTGTAGGGATTTGATTGGTTACAGGATTTTCATCATGAGCTAACATTAGTTAGAGAACCATTGGAAAACCTGGGAGTACTGGACAACTGTTTCATCTTAGTTTGGGACTCTTCATCAGTACGCACCCACCGGGATTCGAACCCAGGACCTTCTGGTTACAAGGCCAGCGAGCTCGTAGACCATTAAGCCACTGGGACCCGATCCAATGGTCCATGAATTATAACTTCTGGCAATTCACGACATAGCGCGACTCCTAGCCAATGTCTTCGGCGAGTATTTATCCTCACGCCCGACCTGCTGCACCCTACTGGTCACGACTTCCCACTAGAACCTCAGTTAACTAACTATGTTTCTCCAATGGTTCTCTAACTAATGTCAGCTCATGATGAAAATCCTGTAACCAATGAAATCCCTACAAACCAACACTTGAATACCAATGAGATGCTCACTAGCGACTTGCCCTATCCAGGTAGGTAGTTGCCTGGGGTTCTAGTGAGAAGTCGTGACCAGTAGGGTGCAGCAGGTCGGGTGTGGGGACAAAAACTCGCCGAAGACATTGGCTAGCGGTTGCGCTATGTCGTGAATTGGCAGAAGTTATAATTCATGGACCATTGGATCGGGTCCCAGTGGCTTAATGGTCTACGAGCTCGCTGGCCTTGTAACCAGAAGGTCCTGGGTTCGAATCCCGGTGGGTGCGTACTGATGAAGAGTCCCAAACTAAGATGAAACAGTTGTCCAGTACTCCCAGGTTTTCCAATGGTTCTCTAACTAATGTTAGCCATGATGAAAATCCTGTAACTAATGACAATACCTAGATGGAGGAATGCAAACTCTATCTTTTGACTAGGAATGATTTTTATTGCAATTTGTCAAAAGAATACACAACTTTTCGAACTTTTGATACCAATGAATTTTTCCACCACTTTACATAATATCGTTCAAACGTTCTACTTAATCAAATAAATATCACACAAAAAATATTTACCTTCTCATCAAATGGAGAAGTATTTCCATTGGTTGCAGAATGTGATTTTGATTGGCTCAGCAAATAACGATCAATTAGTATTTTCTTATAATTCCCTGGGGACATAACATTGCTGACAACTGTGGAAGAGGAATTTGTTGGCGTACAGACATCGGTATAAGTGTCTGAGTCAGTTGTAACTGTAACTGGAATTTTTGTGAGCATATGTCTTTCGCAGTTATCCGAGACATCTATATTGTTAACAATAAAAATATATTATAGTATTATTATTATTATCATTATTACAGTATTTCTTTCTGAAGTCAGTGTACCATTCCCTTTTAAGGATCTAACAAAGTGATTCTGACAACAATAAAGAATAGAACCAATGAATCAGATCGCTCAGCATTACAACTGGATGCTTTCCGTAATCTAAGTTGTAAGTTTCACCCTAACCTTAATCATAACCTACATTAATCCTACGCTAACCTTAACCATGAACAGGGTGAAACGTGCAACGAAGATTATAAGAAAGCACTTATTTGTAATGCGGAGTGATCTGATTGATTGCTTCAAGGTTATTTGATTGTCTCACTGTTACGTGATCTCAATTAAAAGGAGATTAGAAGTTGGGTTTGAAAAACTATGGGTTACTGAAAGCGGATTAAACTTATTAGAAAGAAACGAGAGTGAGAACTTAACTGACTGCTTTATTCTATGACGGATGATTTGCGGTGTTTCTGTGGCAAACATAAACAAATATTGCGGTCATTGGAGTTTCATCCGTATTAAGATCTTACCGCCGGCTAAGGACTGCTGCAAAGCAAGTCAAGATGTACGATTTTTGGGGTCGACCTTTTCTAAGACCACTCTTCAGAGCAGAGAGGCAGCATAACTGATATGCTGGTCATCTGAGAGTTGCACCTTACTGTAATTACATCCCTGTCCTCCAGCATTACGACTTCACCAAAATACCCTAAGATAGTGCAAAGCACTATGACAGTAACAACTTTTAGTCCAATCGCTATCCAAACGACTTTTCTAGCATTAGTTCCAGCCAACGTAGTTCATTGGGTCATTGCGATATGCAAGTCCGACTATCACGTCAAGGTGGCAGCTAGCGGTCGGGACACAAATATTTTTATTATTATTCCCTTAGGTTCCAACAACAAATCTCCATTTCATCCTGTTTCCTGAAATCCTTTTAAGCTGGATCCACAATTTCTCAGAGATTCTCATTTTCTCCTCAAATGATTCCCTTCATGTCATCTCAGGACGCCCAAATCGTTGTTGCCTATTCGGACTCTACTCAGTAATCTGGCGTGAGACTTCGCCACACGGTCTCCTCAGCAGAAGTCCAGTCCATGTCCATTTTCTTTGGCCTATTTGTCGAGCGATAGGTTCTTGTTTGGTTCGCCACCAGAGTTCCTTGTTGCTAACCCACTCTGAACACCTTATCTTCAGTAAGGAGTGGAAGCAGTAGTTGCCGAAAGTTTGATCTGCAGTAGGCTGTTCGAAGAGCTTTGAATGACTCATGAGCAAAGTCTCTGAAGAACTAACTTGACGTTATTGTTCAGAATACAAACTTTGTTCCTTATGATGAGGGCAGCAGATTTCCACACTGATTTCAGAGAAATGAAGGCCAGTCTTGCCTTTTCGATTCTGATTGGCTTTGACATACATATCCATAAGGCCTGTAGTTGAAAGAATGCTGTCCGGGTAAAGGAAAGACACAACTCCCCTAAGGTTTCCCCATCAGTAGTGTTTGATACTTGTTGTTGTTGTCGATCAACGGGTATCTTCATCACCTGTCTTCTCTACTCCTAGTTTCCGCTGCTTCTTTCGCCAACTTGTTGATTTTCACCTATACTTTTTGGAGTTTTTCATGAAGCCCAGATCTTATACAGTCTTATATAGTCGGCCCAACGTATTTTAGTCATCTCGCACCCTAAAATCTGCCACATGATCCAGTCCAACACAATAAGGATAGTTATCCGTGATATTAAGCATCCTTGTCTACACAAATTATCAGGTAGTTTAGATATTTCGTTTTTAACACTAACGATTTAGTGCATGAACCTGCACTTAGTACTCAGTTACACCATATATGAAGTGAAGTGTTGCCCAACAACCATACTGTTGGCAGTGAACCACACCTATTGTTTGAGGGCTGGTGGTACCACTTGGCTGCTCAAACCTCAGTAGGTCGAGCGGAGTTTGAGCTTGTGACCCACTGCTTTGAAGTCGAGAGCTTAGAACAATGAGTTACTGCGCTATATGCATATATATATATATACATTTGGTCATATATTATAACATTTGAATGGACCTGGGAAATCAGTAGACTCACCCGATGGATACTGTTGTTGCTGAAGTTGTTGTCCACCTTCGAGCTGATTCATCTCCAACTTTCGGTTCTGACGTCTTCTCCATCGTCTCATATACAATGATGATGCTTGGAAACCATCTGAATTCAAGTAACTTGGTAGAAGGGTTTTGCACTTGACGATTAATTTTAATTAGTAATACATGTGAAAAGAGAAAAAAAAAGAAGGAAAAGGAGAAATGAAATGCGACGAATACAGACTTTAAATATTTTTTCTTTATGGTATATGCAGTTAAGTAAATAAAGATTTACACCAATGGCAGACAATGATAAATAACCGAATTGCAATCATTGCACCATATACTACTGATTGACTGGGATGAGTAGTTGTATACTACTCATATCAACCAGCCGGGCTTGTTAGCTCTATTCAAGTAATCTAAACACTGGACGGCCATTCCGTTTGTTTGGAGGCGATCTCATGAGTGGTATAGCCTATTCGACTCAGCTTAGAGAGCCGAATCAGTTTAAAACAATCCGATTTCTGAGTAGTTGAGCATATCACCGGTATGCAACTACTCAACCTAGTCATTCAGTAGTATATAGTTTTCTGTATATATACTTGGTTTCTTGATTACCAATTATGGTATCAAGCAGATCCCATAATATATTGTCCTAAAAAGTTCTGTTTCTAAAAAAGGTTTCACGCCTTGAACTTTATACACTACAAATTCCTAACTAATTTGCAAATTGTGAATTTGATTAATGGTAACACCAGTTCGCTCAAGTTATTTTATTATTATTATTGTTTCCTTTAGTTCCTAGAGGAACATAGGCCTTCAGCCGCACGTCCCCATTGCGTTCGGTTTTCTGCTAACGTTTTCACCTGGCTCCAAGTCTGCTCACATGCTTTCATTTCATCTTCACATGACCTCCTCTCCATGTCACCCTTGGACAACCAGTTCACCCAAGTAGCTAACCAAAAATCGGATGGTTTCAACTGACTCGGCTCTCTGAGGTGAGTCAAACCGGATACACCGCTGATAAGCTCGGCTCCAAACAAGTGAAACCACTGTCCAGTGTTCAGGTCAATTCGATCTGGCATACAACTAATCAGTGGTATCTTAAGTCTCTGATGAAGAGAACTGATCAGTGATTTCAATGTGATCCTAGAGAAGCAAAATGGTACGAAACGGTATGTCAACAAGGTTCATTGTTAGGGCTTTCAAGTAGTAGTTAGGGGGAGACGAATTCAGATTCCTCATTTTTCAAGAGTCTTATTATCCTCTTACGTTTAATTGTATCTAATCTTTAGGAAATCTTTGTCGAACCAATTTATTTTATGCACAGCAGTGAATTCTCATGATGCCAATGCACTTTATTTGAATTTCAGAATGAGATTTAATCAAGCTAAGAAGCATTTTCGGTAATATTCTCATCAGGCTTTACAGTTATACAATAAAATATCAATCAGTCACATACATTTGGAGAAAAAAATGTGGATCAACAGAATCAAACATAATTGAAACGAATCTAATACCCGGGATAAATATTCTAAGTCAGGTTTGATAGGGAGGGATTTAACAAACTTTTTCTGAACACAAAGATTGGGCTGGAAAGTTTTTATGGTGACTGCCTCCCTCAGCCAGGGCTTAGTAATCGACGGCGTACAAACTTGGTGAATTGAGATGGCACCATGTATTGAGTTGTAAAGGCGGAATTTTTTAATTTGTCAATCTAGTGATCCAGATCCACAAGGTGTGCCAATATGGAACTCCTGATTAACTTTACCCTTCATTTACCTTAATGTTATAAAATATCAATATCTCTGATCATGTACGTCTTTGATTTTCACTGTCCACAAGATGTTACAAACAATGAGCTCAATGCATATATATATATGTTCGAATATATAACACTTTTCACATTAACAATTAAAACTTCGAACGCATAGAGGTGCTTTAAACTTTCTAATTGCTACGGCTTCCACAAACTTAAGGATACGCCCCAAACCTACCTGGACAGGACAGTATCTTAATTACCACAGTTTCTGCCCTGTTCGGTACAAAAGAGCCTTAGTAAGGTGCCTCTTCAGTAGAATCCAACGAATATGCACTTGATGAAGAAGAAAGTTGACACAAACTCTGGTGGATAACAATTAGCCAGACAATTTCATCAGGAGATATAAAGTAGTCAGAACACCAAGACCCATTCTCCAACTCACCCCTAAGAAAGACGTGTACATCAAGCTACCCTATATGGGGCATCAAAGCAGCTTGATAACTAGACAAAGACTGAACGCTGCTGTTAAAAAGACTTTTTATGCAGCTAATATCATTATAATTGTGAATGTAAAGCCAATATATCTATCTAAGCCCTTCGAACATGCGAAAAATGACGTCACATCCCACTGTATTTACCAATTTGAATGTACATGTGGACACACATACATAGGGAGGACTCATCGATCTCTGGAAGTAAGGGCTGGCTTCAAAGCATATTCCTAAATGGCTCCAGAAACAAATGGAATCTTCAGAACCTATTAATAGTGACAACAGGAGACCTAGCTCTTCTATAGCGAAACATATAGAGAGAGGACATAAAATTGACGTTAACAGATCTTTTAAACCTAAAAATTCGTCATCACATTAAACCTTCCTTGGTAAATTCAAACGTCAGAAATAATGTGAATAAAATCTTAAAAAATGAAGCAAATTCTTCAGTGAGGAAATTATAATGATGAAATCTATTTTCACATAAGTAATACTAGCATATAACTCTTCGAGGTTCTTACAAAGGTGAAGAGTGTTCACATATTTGTTTATTAGAAACCAGCAAATCTTTACACGCCACCATACCACAGAAATGGCTGAAGTCTTAATTATATGTACATATGTATGACATAACTGAATCTACTACAGTAAAACACCAAGTTTTATATAATGAGTAAATGGTAAAATATCAGAGAATGAACAGTTAATGACAAAATTATGCAAAATAGACAACTGGAAGAGTGCTGAATACATCAGTATTAAGAATATATGCTGAAGTGTAAAAACGTTTGATTTCGACTGACTAGTTTAAACATAGAACTTTGCACAGATGTACAGTAGTTCGAGTTGCCACACTCCCTCCATGTAGCACACAAATCAAGAGAAGAGAATTGAGATAGAGATTCAAAAGAGAGAGACAACGAACAGAGATATCAGGTAAAAAGAATAGTAATATGGAAGAATAATACAATTTTATTCGATATTATAAATCACAAAGAGTGATTTCGACAGTTCATTTCTGTGTGATAAAGACAGTTTACAAAAAACAATTGCTTTATAGTCTAGATATATGGTCATGCCAAGGGTTTCTTTTCATCCTGTGACTGACTGTTTTTTTTTAATAAAAAAACAACTATATTTTATCATTTAAAAGCTTTGAACAATTCAATAATAATAATAAGCATTTCACGCATTTCTCAGACGAAAAGTCGTGATTGTAATTCATTGTAATCGTTTGCATATTTTTCGGCTGATTAGTCACATGAGTTTGAAAATTGTAATAAGAGGTTATAGAAAAGGATTACAATTCATCGTTTAACCGCTTAGTTTATGCAATCAGTGATTATCTAGGAGGTCAAGTCAGGCAAGCATAGTTGATATTTGACAGGGTAACGTATAATAACTTGAACATTTGAAAGAAAAATACTATCATCAGCAAATAACACAACCCTACTTTAAAAGAATAGTTCAGTAACAGTTGAGTAGCGTCGGTGGCGCAGAGGTAGAATGCTTGCCAACCACGCATGTGGTCCGGGGTTCGATCACCAGCCAACGCACTCCTTCACCTCCCTAGGCCAGTAATGAAACTGGTAAAGATGGAAAGTTGGGGATGAGGCTAACAACCCCATCCCGTAAAAATAAACACCACTGCTACCGAAACTTCAAGTCTCTAGCTGGAATTCTTATGTTTCACTCGGAACGTAAAGGAATGAAAAAAACTTTAAAAGAAGACATTTTCTCTAAAGGTCTCAAAAAGCTGTTGAATACCATAAGCGATCATGAATCATATGGTTGCCAATTTAATTTTTTTAAATTAGCAACGAAGAACACACCGTGTTTTACAAACAAACAAATCACATTCGACGCTTACAAGTACCATCAATAAAACAATGATTAGGAGGAAAGCATATGACCATGTCCCAGTAGCTGAATGGTCTACGAGATAGCTCGCCTTGTAACCAGAAGGTCCTGGGTTCGAACCCTGACGGTGGGTGCGTACTGATGAAGAGTCCAACCTAAGACGAAACAGCTGTCCAGTACTCCCTGCAGGTTTTCCAATGGTTCTCTAACTGATGTCAACTCGTGACCGAATCCAGAAGTATAAGCAACCAATCACTCTGAAAAACGACTGTAGTTGCTACATCCAGTTAATTAATGTATGATAAAGAAGTCTCAAGTTTTGTCAGACTTTGGATACAGAATTTAGCGACACTGTCAACAGCTCCAAGATGGTTACACTTCACAGATCGATGCTGTATTCAACACCGTATATATATCGATCAGTAAGTCAGCATACATAATGATTTTCGATAAGTACTACTGTAACGACAGAAGGCAAGAGTCAGGCAACAGATCATTTATTAAGGAAATCAACGCATATTTATATATGTTTTCATGTACATTACTATGGATATGTAAACAAAAAACACAGTCTTCCGATTGGTCGTTTCTCACGACAAATCTTGGGAACGTAAATATTGACGTAAATTACTGTCTACCGATTTGGCTAGTAGACAGCTCTCACCACACTCGTTCCCCCGTCAAATAGCTTCGCGCGCAGGCGTTCCGACCTTCTGGGTGATGCATCCTCTCGTTGATGATTGTTACAGACCGCCTTGTCCCAATGCACCCATCGTTGGATCTGACTGGCGTTAACTCGTTTTTGTTTGTCACCTCTTCTGATGGTATATACTTGACCCCGTCTTTTTGTGACTGTGTATGGTCCTTCCCGTTTTGGAAACTGTTTGCCTGACCCTGCCGCACATTCGTAGGAGTTTCGGCTCACACTTTCATATGCTGCTTTCTCCCGACCTCCCAGCAGCGTCCCAAGTAGCAGCCTCATCGCTGACAGATCTTGGACGCCACTCAACTGCGAAGAAGCCTCAAAGTCCTGCACGAAGAT